CACACATCTAGCAAACACTCGAGCATTCACGAACCTTCGAGAATATCATGAGGTGTTACTAGCGTCACGTGACTTCCACTGTCGTAACAACTATTTTTGTTGAAAATGTTTTCGATATTTCCCTTTTCTATGACTCGACTAGACACTGAGAGAGATCATCACGTGTTTTTAAACATTGATTTTAAATCTAATTACATTTTAGATTGAATACGCAAACACAAATACTGCTTTAATGGGTCTCTAAAGGCTATATAATGTGAAACTACATTATCTTCAACTTCTGCAGGCCCCCCCCCCCAGTAACGCAGCGGTATGTCTGCGGACTTACAACGCTAAAATCCGGGTTTCGATACCCGTGGTGGGCAGAGCACAGATATTCCATTGTGTAGCTTTGTGCTTAATTACAAACAAACAAGTTTCTACAGACTGAATAGTAGGAAAAAGTCTATACTTATATTAGGTTCTTTGTGAATCATAGAATTTATGTAGTATAAAAATTGATGAAATAAACGATGCAGTTTGTCGCTGAAATTAATTATTGTATCTGTCTTCCTTTAGACAGCGTTAAACCAGACGAAATCAACGTTTAAGGTAAAAAAAAACAAAAACATTTTTAGTTTTAAGTTAATCCGACGGAAGAAGCTATCACAAGGTGCGGATCAACGATTCTTTTACATAAAAGAACTTAAAATGAAAGTTATTAAGTCACAGGGAGCATAAAACAAGAACACAGGTGGAGTATATGAAAACAAGAGCACAGATGGAGTATCCGGTACACCGTGTATGTTGATATTGATAACATCATTCATTAGGTTAAACAAGAAAAAACAAACTTGAGGATAATGTTTTAGCTCCAAAGTAAACTTGAATTCGAACCCCCGATAGTCTCATCCGTAGGAATTGCAAATGTATTTAATTAGTCTATTTTAAGGCACGTTTACTACAACAGTTTCAATGATATCTTTATTGGGTTCTACGAGTTCCAGAAAATGAATTGTTTGGTTTATGACATCAATCTCATGAACTTGATGGATCCCAGGAAAACAAACAAACAAAAAAAAAAAACGTTGTGGTTGATGACATCAATGTCATGGTTATCGTCATTGAACTTGATGGGTTCCAGAAAAGAAATTATTTGGTTATGACATCAATGCCATGGGTATCGTCATTGAACTTGATGGGTTCCAGAAAAGGAATTGTTTGGTTATGACATCAATGCCATGGGTATCGTCATTGAACTTGATGTGTTCCAGAAAAGGGATTGTTCGGTTTATGACAGTAGTCTCATGGACCCAATGTATCTAAAAAATACAAAAACAAACCCTGTTTGGTTTATGACATCATTCTTATAGGTATCTTTATTGAACTTGATGGGTTTCCAGAAAAGGAATAGTTTGCTTTATGATAGCAAACCATGGACATCTTCATTAGACTTTATAGATACCAGGAAAGAAATTATTTGAACTGAACACATAGTTTTTGTTGAACACCTCGATTCAAAAGGAGGATGAATTAAGAATTTTCTCGTGTTAAGTCACATTAAAAGTATTTTTTATTAACCAATATTAAACTTGTAATATTAAGTTTTAATTAATTAATATTTAATAATACTAATATTATTGTAGACTCTGTAAACTGTCATCTTCCAGTCATCATAGTCTGTAAACTGTCATCTACCAGTCATCATAGAGTCTGTAAACTGTCATCTACTAGTCATCACAGAGTCTGTAAACTGTCATCTACCATTCATCATAGAGTCTGTAAACTGTCATCTACTAGTCATCACAGAGTCTGTAAACTGTCATCTACCAGTCATCACAGAGTCTGTAAACTGTCATCTACCATTCATCATAGAGTCTGTAAACTGTAATCTACTAGCCATTACAGAGTCTATAAACTGTCATCTACCATTCATCATAGTCTGTAAACTGTCATCTACTAGTCATCACAGAGTCTGTAAACTGTCATCTACCAGTCATCACAGAGTCTGTAAACTGTCATCTACCATTCATCATAGTCTGTAAACTGTCATCTACCAGTCATCACAGAGTCTGTAAACTGTCATCTACCATTCATCATAGTCTGTAAACTGTCATCTACCATTCATCATAGTCTGTAAACTGTCATCTACTAGTCATCATAGTCTGTAAACTGTCATCTACTAGTCATCATAGTCTGTAAACTGTCATCTACTAGTCATCACAGAGTCTGTAAACTGTCATCTACCATTCATCATAGTCTGTAAACTGTCATCTACTAGTCATCACAGAGTCTGTAAACTGTCATCTACTAGTCATCACAGAGTCTGTAAACTGTCATCAACCAGTCATCATAGTCTGTAAACTGTCATCAACCAGTCATCATAGAGTCTGTAAACTGTCATCTACCAGTCATCACAGAGTCTGTAAACTGTCATCTACCAGTCATCATAGTCTGTAAACTGTCATCTACCAGTCATCACAGAGTCTGTAAACTGTCATCTACTAGTCATCATAGTCTGTAAACTGTCATCTACCAGTCATCACAGAGTTTGTAAACTGTCATCTACCAGTAATCACAGAGTCTGTAAACTGTGACCAAGCGATCACCACAAAGTTTGTAAGTTGAGATCAACCATTCATCATAGAACGGTTTTAAATTTATGAAGAGCGCGTAACACATCAACGATAAAAAAAAGAAAATTCCAGAACTGGAAGGACATGACTATGAAAACAACAACAAACAACATACACACACACACACACTAAAGAAACTAGTGGAAGCGATGGACTAGGAAGAAGGCGATAAAGAAACAGATAGGCTTCTAAGGTCTGAGTCAATCACATAACAGCAGCCTATTATAATTCGTTTTGTGCGCTGTGTTGTTACAGAAGATTATTTTAGTAACTTGCTTTTCCTGCTTACTGATAATATTCTTTTCTTGAAACCAAATGTCTTTGCCTTTCTTATGGTAACACTCAAACCCTTGGGAACGCTATAAAATCCAGATGTGAGTGAACCACAACTACAGAAACCCAATCATTTGGACTTTCTTCCTTAGAGGTGAGAAGAAAAGTCGATATTTTCCTAAAGCGATCGGTTTGGTTTATCTTTAATTATGACGTATGTTATAAAAGTATCACTCTGAAACATAACACTTGAGTCTAACTGACTGATTTGTATATGCTCGCACATACATGTACTTTGTAATATTATTAACACAACTCGATAATTCTCTATTTATAGAACGTAAATTAAAAAAGCACATGAAATCTTACCTTATTAAGAGCATCCTCTTTTGTTTTAACGTCCATCCAGTCATTCAATCTCACCAATACTTTAAACGCCTCATGCAACTCCTCAACCATAAGTTTTGTCTGAAAAATTGATTATACGTACAAGTAATTGTGAGTACGGCGTTGCTGTAGCATGTTTTATATTTTTATTACGTTTTTACAAAGATTCAGTTTAATCAGTTGAATACTCCAATGTAGAATAACTCTTGTTGAACATGATTGAAATTTAAGAAGTTAAAGAAAGAAAGAAAAAAAATTGATTTTAGACTACAGAAAATACTCAAAGCATAATTTATAAGTTAACGTTAGCAATAAGGGTTGAGTTTATGTGTACCAGTTTTAATTAATCTACTTTTGCAAGAAAATTATTGAAAACAACACATTCGTACGTTGAAAATGTTTTGTTTGTTTGTAATTATGCACAAAGCTACACAATGGGCTATCTGCGTTCTGCCCACCACGAGTATCGAAACCTGGTTTCTAGTGTCATAAGACAGCAGACATATTGCTGTGCCGCTGGGGGCGGACGTTGAAAATTAATTACAACAGCAGTAATGAAAAAAAAGCTTCCATCTTCTTCCGCATGGGTGAAAAGACTGCATAATAAGTTATGTAGAATTGTTTTTGTATAAAGAATTAATAATAATTATAACACTTTAATTAACTGTGGACTCGTGCTTAAATTTTCGTATTTATGTACTTTGATGACTGTGGGAGCTGGGTTAGCGTTTTGGGCTGCGAATCGAAAGATCCAAGGTCTGATCCTCGACATGTCAAATAACATCCTTGGCACTTCCAGTTGTTTAAGGTTTGTAACTGTGACAGTAAATTCCATTATTCGGGTAAAATATACTCTATAGAGGGCGTGCCTATTGACTGGTTGCCTTCTCTCTGGCCAACAATTTTCAATCGTGGATGCCTCTGCCTGAATCTCGGTGTCATATAAGGTGCCATGTATGATCGCAGTCTTAAGCGCTTAGTGTTTAACATGGCCAAACATATAATGCTATAAACCGGGTTTCGATACCCGTGGTGGGCAGAGCACAGATAGTCCACCGTGTAGCTTTGTGCTTAACTCCAAACAAACAAACAAAACGTTATTGTTCTTTTTATACTTTTTTTTTATTGGCAAATAACTTATCTATGAATGTGAAATGAGAAATATATATTGCGTATTGCGCTCTTATAAAATCCAATAAGAATATAAATTTTGAAAAATTATAGCAGCTGATGAACGTTTATGATAAAAAATTCGTCAGGCTTAAGCCACCTGTGGGCTAAAGAACGCAAAATATCATACACTAGGTTTTGTTTTTGTTAGTAAAGAATCATAACAAATATTGGAGTACTTATACTAATAATATGTAAATATATTAGCTTAGTTAAATCACCCCTTCCCCCCCCCAAAAAAAACGGCCTGATATGGCTTAGTAGTTAGGGCACTCTAGTTTCAATCTGTGGTGTTGACTAACTTCCTTCCCTCTAGTCTATAGCTTCTACATTAGGGACGGTTAGCATAAATAGCCGTCTAGTAGGTTTTCGCAAAATTTAACAAACAGACAGCACATCGCTAACACTTTAACACCTGTTTATCAGCTGTTTATAGAGCTCAAAACATCAAATATTACTAGCGCAAGTACATGTAGTTTATATTACAGTGTTTCTTGAATGTAATGAAATGACAACTGGTGGTTGAATTTATGTACTTCTGTTGGTAATTAAGTTAAATATATACGTGTTTATGTAACTCCGGTACGTTTACATAAATATACATAAAATAGTCTCATAGGTGGCTTCAAGCATGCTGTATTTAGCTTAATGGTCAAAACTGTCTGAAAATGTTCATCAGTCAAACCATGAATGGTTATTTATCGGAAAAGTAACCCCTTTTTATTTTTTTATTCTCCGTGATGTATGTTGAATTCTATAGGTGGTCATTTTCTTAATTACTTTGTTAACAACAGTATTAATAGAATTAATTACATAGTTATTTTGATATAACATACGTTTAACTATCTTTACTTCTTCAAGAGTCCCCAGGTGGGACAGCGGTAAATCTTTGGATTTACAACGCTCAAATCAGGGGTTCGATTCCCTTCGGCACACAGCAGATAACCTGATGTGGCTTTGCTATAACAAAACACACAAACACATAGTCTTTCCCCCTGTAGTTCAGCGGTAAGTCAGTGGGCATATAGTGCTAAAAATAGGGTAATCACGGTGGGCAGAACATAAATAGCCAATTGTGTAGCTTTGGGCTTAACAACAAAAATAAACAAACTGATTAGTGTACAACTCATCAACATGACACGAATATAGACAGTCAGTGAAACCCAGTTTTATATGAGCGCCTTTCCAGTTTTACGGTGCCTGGCGGCTCAGCGGCAAGTCAGTGGGTTTATAACACTTGAAAAAAAATCGGGTTTCGATACCGCGGTTAGCAAAGCACAGATACCCCATTGTGTAGCTTTGTGCTTTACAAACACACAAAATTTTAGGGTCAAGTAGGGGAGCTTATAAAACAAGAGGGAATCCTCAATAGCCGCGGCACTGTAAATTCTTTTAGGCGGGATTAGAGTAAATTAATCTATGAGACCATCTTTTCCTTTTGATTAACTATATTTTTGTGCGACCGCAATACCAAGTGTGGGGCTCGCGTATACCTGATTCAGTTTTATTACTCATCAGGATCTCTACCAGTCTACCCTCCAATTGAAATTATTACAGGCAAGATTAGAATAAATTAATCTATGAAACCTTGGGCATGGTCAAATACACCAATGGAAAGGGTTTGACTTCCCGAGTCCAAAACTGTAATTAGATCTCAAATTGGTCAAGAGATGACGGAGCTATAAGCTAAAAGTTTGTACTTGCTAAAAAATACTCGGAGCCATTCTATTAGCCACTATGCCGCGGCTTAAAAATCTCACCTCTTGCTACATGGATAACAGAATTGTATTTAAAAATAACTTGATGATTCCAAACATTAACACACACCTCTTGTTTGGATTGTGCTTTGAACTGTTCTTCGACGTACAATCGGCCTACAGCTTCGGGCATCAAAGAGTTGACAAGGTTGGCACAAACAAGCTCCAAACTCTCGAGTTCCTGTACTCCTTGCGTAACCTTTTTGAAGTCAAACTCAATTTTACGAAACTCTTCCGTTGTGAGAGGACCAAGTACTTGCACCAGTCTCCATCCAACATAGTTTCCTATAACACTAAGAGGATATGAAGGAAATTAATTATTCATATTTTATTAGTATATTATAGTTAGGTAAGAGCCTTCAACAACGTTCTTAACTTTAGCATAAGGATTTATAATTTACCTAAATCTCTTAAGAAGGTTAAATCTCATGAGACATTATTAGGATTACGGCCGAAAATATCGCTAACAGCGAGGGCACCCAACTGATGAATCATTATAAGTTTTCATTAAATTGAGCACTTTAGTTGGACAGATATATAATAACTGCAGCCTGCTTTGATCAGAAGTTAATGTTAATTAGCATTATCCAGATTAAAAATATACTTGATAGACGTGTGTATGACATCATACTTTTATAAGCCAATAACAGTCGTAAGTGCCACTTACAAGACACTATCTGAGTGACCATTGGCTACTTAAAATGTCCAAGTATTACTGAACTGTTAGTTTCAAGCTACTTTGACAGAAATGTTTAATAAAATTGCCTATATTTACATAACTAATAAGATGGAAAGAAGAAAAGAGCTAGAAAACAGACGGTGGCTGTCTGAACGGTAAGCTTGGGGACTTACAACAGAGCATTGTGTAGACTTGCGCTAAGAAAAAGCACACAAACCAAGATGGAAGTAAGAAACAAGAGAGAGAGATCTAATCACACAAGCACAGGTACTTAACCCTTATCTGTTGAAAGTATGGTTTCATTTTCTTTACGTCCAGGTGAGGGTTTTACAGAGAAATCACATATCTGAGAGAATTTAGGGGACATTTAGGGTCGCCTGAACGTTTGCTTAAGAATTTAGGGATATTATAGGGTCACCTTTTCGTCTGCTTAAGAATTTAAGGGAAATATAATGTTGCCTGAATCCTTGCTTAAGAATTTAGGTGATATATAATGTTGCCTGAACCCTTGCTTAAGAATTTAGGGGATATATAATGTTGCCTGAACCCTTGCTTAAGAATTTAGGGGATATATAATGTAGCCTGAACCCTTGCTTAAGAATTTAGGGGATATATAATGTTGCCTGAACGCCTTTTTAACTTACGAATATTAATAAAATCACAGGTAAACTAGAAGTTAAGAACAAGTGTCAGTGTTTTAACACTATTTTCAAAGTGTAGATGAATGTTGGATGTTTCTTTTTATACAAAGCTATTATTAACAAAACAAAAAAGCACCGACGACAGTGTAATTATTCTGCTTTAAAAATGCGTAATAAACATCGAAGTTTACAGCAATTAATTTCAATCATTCTTTTAAGAAAAAATTGTTTATTTGACGATCTAGTTTTATTTTTTTTACTTGTGAAAAGTTATTTCAAAAGTATTTAGTGTTTTAAAAAAATCCGTTCATTCACTATGTTACTCTTCTGTGTTCAGAAACTTTGTTTAATTGTGGCAGCAGCGTTGTTCATTTTACTTTATTAATTCATTTTAAAATGTGTTAAAACTTATCCTATGATTTTATAAAACTTATGTGAAATTAAGATGCTTAACTGTTCCATCAGACTGTGTTCATTAAAGTGAGCTACATAATATATATATTATTACCTATTGGTATTGTTTTTTATAACAAGAGCGAGTCCTCTCAAGTACTTCAAGTCAATGTCTCGCACGTTCACCTCACTATCTGATGTGATATTTTCCATGCTGTCCGGCAGATAAGCGTTTAAAAAACTCTCCCAATCAATCTGAAAGAATATCAGATAAATTAAGATATCACATATCGCCACAATAAACAATGTAATAAGGCAGTGTTTTTTTGTTTTTTTTCACTGACATCACCCTAACTCACTTACCTTGATTTGAGCAACACCCCTGTTGTCACATGAAATATTTTTTTCTATGTATTTTTTTTTTATGTTCATAATTATTCTTCGTCTGGTGAAACCCTGGCGACACCCCAAGCAACTTGCCGCGACATGCAGTTTGGAAAACATTGCAATAAGGTGTTATAACTTTTTCCAGAACTTTGGTAGATCAAATAAAAAACACCCGAAGTATTTTAGGTTACCTGGCGGCGAGTTAAGAACTGTTCACCTAAACCAAACAAATTTCTTATATTCCATCATTATATGAGAACCACCGATAAGCCGTGAATTCCGAGAAACTAGTCTGTTTATTTTTTCTTCCCTGAAATTCACGTTTCGGAGAGCAATCCTCTCTATTATTAAAACATTGTAGAACTTTTCAACCCTTATTATCGTCCAATAAACGAAATTATTACTAATTTTATTAATTAAATGCCACAAGATATGTGAGCAAACCAACTAAAAAATACCGCATTCATTGAACATGTATTACAGGCATACTTACATCTGTAATGTTTTTACTTATATCGGATACTTTCATTATGGTGTTAACTTTTCTCGGGTCACGTCTATCTTCTGGTAATACGCTATGCTGTAAAAAAAAGTTTTTAAAATCAGAGTTTTCATTTGGTGTACAGTTCAAATCTCGTACAAAATGTAGATTAACATAGATACATTACAAATGTATCGTTTACAATATATTTAGGCTTATGTTTTATTTATGTGTTTGTTTTTTAATTATGCACAAAGCTACACAAGGGCTATCTGTGTTCTGCCCACCACGGGTATCGAAACCCGGTTTCTAGCGTTGTAAGTCCGCAGACATACCGCTGTGCCACTGAGGGGCAATATTTTACTGTAATTGATTATTTATTTAGCGAAAATGTGACACACAATAACTGAAACAAAAAAGAGGAAAAACTGGTTACCTTGGCTAAATCTGATTCGAATTTAAATATTTCTTCTGCAAGACTATCAAACTCTTCAGAGTTGTTTTCCTTTTTCAAAATTTTCAAACTTTCTTTGATGTATATTTTATAAGCATCAATAATTTTCCGGTTATTTTCGTTATCTGGCTCCATCAGTTGTCGTTGGCCTATTCCAAATGAAGGTTGGTCCAACTTGGAAGAATGAAAAATATTTGAGCAGAAGACAAAGCAATATTTTTTTTACATATTTTAGATAATGCGAACCTTTTCAAGAACTAGTATACAAGTATATAACCATTGATGAAATAATGTAAATAATTTCATAAACTTACACAATTTTCTATAATAATAACATTTCCAACATCAGTATAATTTGTAATGCTTTCTACAAGGACTTCTTGAAAGAAACGTTATAAATTGATTGTTTACTACTGGTTGAATTGGAAGTCTGTAACTCGGTAGGTGAATGGAAGCCTAGATACCTTTTTTTGTTTGTAATTAAGCACAAAGCTACACAATGGGCGATATGTGCTCTGCCCACCACGGGTATCGAAACTCGAATTGTGACATTGTAAGTCTGCAGACATACCGCTGTGCCACTGGGGGGGAAAAAAGTGTTTTTGCTTTTGTTCGTTTGAAGCTAAGCACAAAGCTACAGAATGGGCTATCTGTGCTCTGCCCACGACGGGTATAGAAACCCAGTTTCTAGCGTTGTAACTCCTCAGACATACCGCTGTGCCACCGTGGGGGTCCTAGATACCTAACTCACTAGGTTTAGAAAACTTTACGAAACCAACTACCCAGTACAGCATTTTATTAAGTGTTTACTGTATTTTAACTAAAGATAAGTCGTTGTCGAAGTGTTAATGTGAGAGGAAGAAAATACAAATGGTCCGTATATGAAACTAGCTTTCACTTTGACATCTAGTAGTTAACTAAAGATAAGTCGTTGTCGAAGTGGCTAGTTTCATATATGGACCATTTGTATTTTCTTCCTCTCACATTAACACTTCGACAACGACTTATCTTTAGTTAACTACTAGATGTCAAAGTGAAAGCTAGTTTCATATATGGACCATTTGTATTTTCTTCCTCTCACATTAACTTTCACTTTGACATCTAGTAGAAGAAACTGGGTCTACTTTATAATACAGACTTAATTAAACTTAACCTAAAGTTTTTTATAACTTTAGTTAGATAACGTCTAGATCTTAAACAAACACAAACTCTTAACGCTATCAGTTGTGGCATAACACAAATGTTAACAAACATACTTTATATTATTATCACAAAACTCTAACACTGTCATATCCTGTCATGATCTAATTCAAATGTTAACAAACTGGTTAAATCATCTTACATAGATCATATTTTATTCACCTAACTCTAACATTGTCATATCCTGTCATGATCTAATTCAAATTTTAACAATCTAGTTAAATCATCTTACATAGATCATATTTTATTCACCTAACTCTAACATTGTCATATCCTGTCATGATCTAATTCAAATGTTAACAAACTAGTTAAATCATCTTACATAGATCATATTTTATTCACCTAACTCTAACATTGTCATATCCTGTCATGATCTAA